ATTACGCATGTAATTTTCTATTTTGAAACCTGGAGTTTAATTGATAATATTGTGTCTATCACTTCATCATAGAAAACAAAAATCAAAATATTCATTTTAAAAAAGGATTCATAGTGCATTTCATTGCGTGTAATACCCAAAATTTATTAAAGTTTATTATTAACAGACATTTAGCTTCCTTTTTTCTTTCCTCCCTCCCTCCCTCTATTTCCTTCTTTCTTTCTGGATACAGACAACAGCAAAATTTTGCCTATTTCCTGAGGATAAATTCCTAGAAGTGGAACTGCTGAGTAAAAAGGACACGAGGCAAAAGGTGTTCCAGAAGGTTGTACCATTTTACATACTCATCAACAACATATGACAGTGACACTGGCCAATGTTAGCTATCATTCTTTTAAAATATAATACACAAATAGTATTTAATTGCTGCTTTAATATGCAATTGTTAGATAACATGTGAGGTAGAGCTTTAATACTTTTAGTTTTTGTATTTTTTCTTTTATAAATTACCCTTTGGTGTTACTAGTCCACTTTTCTACCATATTATGTTTTTCTTATTGATTTGCAAGAGTTCTTTATTACAGAGTATAGTGTGCAGTGAAGGATTAACTGAGCCGGTCTGGATGGTCCAAACTCTGCACATTCCACAGAAAGGTTTAACCCTGACCTGGCTCCTGGCAGATAATCTATAAGCCCCTGAAACATCCTGTCTACCTGACCAATGAGATTTATGGTGGGAACCTTGGGCCATGTGATATCAGCTTGCCCACTGGAGGAGCTGGAGACTGGAGGTCAGCAAAATGGGTGCTCAGCCATGCCTACATGACCAACTTCCAATAAATACTCTGGACACCAAGGTTTGAATGAACCTTCCTGCTTGGCAATACTGCCTACATAAGGCCACATGTCATTGCGGGGATAATTAAGCACTAGCTGCACCAGGCCATTGACATAGGACAACTGGAAGCTCACACCTGGTCTCTCCTGGACCCTGCCCTACACGTCTTTTTTCGTTGCTGGTTTTAATCTATATCCTTTCACTGTGATACTCATCTTACTGTGAGTATAACAGTTTTGCTGAGTTCTTTGAGTCCTCCTAGAACATCACTAAACATGAGGGTGGTCTTGGGGATCTCTGAACACAGACAGTAACCAGCAATGCACACCATACCATATGCATTGTTCTGCAACATCCTTTATTCACTAAATGTCCTAGAGATCTTTCCCCGTCTGTTAACTTCACAATAAACTATCTTATTGTTTTATAGTACCATTATATTCCACTGTACCAATCTACCACAATATGTTTAACCATATCCAAAGTGAACATTTAAGCTGTATCCATTTCTCAAATCAAACAGTATTATAATAAACATCTTTGTACATACATCCTTCGGTACCTGTGCAAGTATTTCTGCACGACAGATCTTAGAACAGAATTTCTGAGCCACTGAGTGAGTTCATTTAACATTTTGGAAGGTATAGTCAAATTGCCATTCAAAATACTTCAACTGTACAACCGGTGTACAACCCGTGCCCCTCCCCCCTGCACTTTTCTCA